GTTGTTGTTGGGTTGTTTTCAAATTCTCTGGATGTTGAAATAACGAGTTACGATACAAGTAATCACTTTCAGCATTATCTTTCAGTTGAAAGTTTATTTAAAAAACAACAAAGATGTCTTAAAGCAGGAGCCAACAAACCAAGTTAATATCATGTGATTGTTCTGCCATGATATGTATGGTCTTTGTTTGCCTATTTTCTCCCTTAGAATCATATTAATGTGATATGTCAATCAATTAAATATTTATTAATAACTGGATTAGATTATCTTTTTATTGTATTACCTTTTCACGTTTACTAAAGGACAAAAACACGATTCTTAAACATAGCTTGCTATCATTTCCAGTGAATTAATTGAAATAACAGTTGTGTTATTTCACTAAAATTGTACCAATATACCTCCTCTACATGTGAGTAATTTCTGTTGTATTATGTTGTTGTTGCACTGTCCAATATTACAGTAAGTCAGTATTCTTCTCACATAATTTTCCTCTTCGATTCACATGGAATTCGGTATTTCAATTTAAGGTCAGATCTCTTCATAGACATTCTGAAATATACAAGGCATGGTGTTATAGGCACTCATATGCATTAATGTTCCGTGGATTTTGCTTGATAGGCAAATGCTGACATTGACTACATTTCCGTTTGAAAAAAAAGTATTACTCTTACTATTAACAGATAGGCCTGTGATTTTGAAACTTTAAAAAATTCTAAAATGTGTGACAAATTTAAGAATATCTAAGAGACAAGGCAACAACATCCACCACATTATTCTTTAATGTGACAATTTATGATATTTCGGTCTGCTCTAACCGAAATCAGATCGCTGTCAGATTTGTTTACATTTTTCCACGGCTTTCTCCCCTATCTCATTTCAGCTTTATGGCCTACCAACTCAATGCCCAGTATTGACTAAAAGCGTTAACCACAATCAGTTTTGTAATTACAAGCATTGTCCGTTTTTATAACACCTCCAAAGTCTTAAACTGCAAAAAAAACATTCATCTGTTGGTAATGATTTTACATATGTGCGGAAATTCGTGCAAACGAAGGTTTCGTGAACAATAGTCCAGACATTAAACTGATCGTGAAGCCTATCACACACCTTGGTCTGCCTAAAATCTTTTGTCTTGGCCGTTTTGTTGAAGGTAAACATCAAATTGCAGCATACGTAACAGATATCATGAGTATGAAAGGCATAATTCGAAGATCATCGTTTCGGAGGCATCGTTTGACCCCGGAAGTAAGTCTGACAAATCCACAAAGCGCAATTGGCCCAAACTGCCGCATGCGCCACTTTTGATGGCCAGACTGGATCGGTCTACTAGGACTGCAATAACATGGGTAAGCCAGTTAACTACACTTTGCTTAAGATCCGATGGAAACGTTAACACGTGAAGTCTGCAGTATAAGCATTAAGCTGTTTATGTTATATTTGCATGTGGTGCACTCTCCACCATCGAGCACAATTTAGATGCCTTCTTCATCCACGCAATACAATGATGTGTGTGCAAGCCTTGTAGGGGTGGGTGAAACGTATGCCAGTGTGCATGTAATAAATACTTTCCATGTATCTACGCAACATCTCTTGCAGGTGTCAAAATGACAAAATGTCCAAGTATCTCCAACTAAAAGGGCTAACTGCAAAAGACTTCCAAAGACATTTGGCAGCTCCTTGAGGAAGATCTGCACTAGGAGGATCCATGCACTCGATAACTCTTAGAAGAAATGCGACCTTACGAAAATGGACCTTACGAAACCTTCAAAGATGAATCGTCCACTGTGACAGCGGGAGCTGTATTAATATTCTTTAAAACTATTTGTTTTTGCGCCTCACTGTACACTTATGTGTATGAGCCATAAGCTTTCCTTCAGTCGCAAACTGTCAGTGTGTATTACCAAGACTCTTTACCCTCAGCTTGAGCTCTTTGAGTTCTGGCGAGTGGAGCCTAATGTACCGTTAGCTGTTGCCGCAGAGAAAGCCTGACACTTGATTTGTCTGTACACTACAGTTGATATGTCTCATGAAACACAGGGACACGACATTCATGATGGTAACTGATGAACCGAATATACGAGATGTGGATAATGTAAAGGCAACAGTTGATCGATCACATTCCATAGAGCTTTAAAGTTCCCCAGAAACATCAAAGCAGTGTACATATGTACATACTCCCCTTTTATACATTCCTCCTATACATTCACGTCATAATATTTTCTCTCCCCACGTCCTTCTTCTCCATTGTCTATCCCCTTTTGCGACATTCCTCACCCTCACCCTTCTCTCCATTAGTTGCTTAATTCTCTCTCATACACCCCTCCACCCTACTCTCTGATATATTCCTCCTCCGTCTCTACTTCCTTTCACATACATCCCTCACTAATCTCATTTCTTCGCAATATCTCTCACACACACGCATCCTAGGGGATTCTTCTTAACATACGGTATATAACCTCTTCGTGTTATTGAGTGAGCGCTCAATCAATAACAGAGGGCGTCTCGACAGGATGGCGACAATGGCCCACTGGAATTGGTGCCAGTGATATGTTTTCCTGTATTTTTACCTAACCTTGATCTTCATTCTGAATGTCACCATTACGTGTTGTCCTACAAACCGTGATCTATATATTGTCGTACTCCAGAACCCTTCGACCTTGACAGATGGCTGTTAAACTCATTTAAGCGCCTTATGCAATGCTGAAGTGCGCCACCTCTGGGAAACGCAATGATCACACTCGTGGTTGTTTGAATGTCATTCTAGGAATTGGCTAGAAAATATGAAAACCACAAAATATGGATAACACAATCGGGTTAATGGCATTTAGCATTCGGTGTTGACTTTTAACAAGCTGTCACTAGCTTTTGATCGATCGCAGATCAAAGGCTCTACAACCTGACTGTCAATGGATATCTAATCGAGTAACAGAGTTCGTATACAATCAGCTGTTAAAATCTTCTTTATCCCCGTGTGCTTACTGTATATATGACTTCATTACCCGTGTGCTAACTGTTATTCTGTTGTACGTACTGTACATCGTGGACTTCATTACCCGTGTGCTGTTATTCTGTTGCTGTTGTTGTACGTGTTGTCATTACCCGTGTGCTGAACATCTGACTTCATTACCCGTGTGCTAACTGTTATTCTGTTGTACGTACTGTACATCTGGCTTCATTACCCGTGTGCTAACTGTTATTCTGTTGTACGTACTGTACATCTGACTTCATTACCCGTGTGCTGACTGTTATTCTGTTGTACGTGCTGTACATCTGACTTCATTACCCGTGTGCTAACTGTTATTCTGTTGTTTATGCTGTCCATTCAGGTGTCAGATGTCTACACTAGAGATGCAGATTATGTAAGGCCAAATGTTTTTTCTCATCACTCTTTTAAAAAATAATGCGTAGGTTGTGCGGATTTTATTTTTTGCAAATATCATATCAATGATATGTTTCTTTTCAAGATGATTGCATCTTGGTACAATAAATAACCCTACAAAAAAAACTGTATAAACTTCAACTTTATTTGACATATCCTCGTGACAATGGTGATGATAAATTAATGTGTCGTCATTTGACTTGACTTGTCCAAAAAGGACAAAATAAATTAGGGTCGGGCGGTAACGAGAAACAAGAAATTATTTTTATGGGGCCTAATGTCTACAGAAGTGAAGCATCACTGAGAAGTCAACCGTAGCGATGCAGATTACAGAATGAGTGAGTGAGTGAGTATGTCTTAACGCCGCTTTTAGCAATATTCCAGCAACATCACGGCTGGGGGACACCAGAAATGGGCTTCACACATTGTACCCATGAAGGGAATCGAACCCGGGTCTTCGGCGTGACGAGCGAACGCTTTAACCACTAGGCTACTTCACCGCCCCTTACAGAATGTAGGAGTCAGATGCAGCCGCTGTGTGTACAGTCCTATGAGAACAGTAAACAGTAGAAAGGACAACTGATCTGATTTGCTTGATATGGATTTTTTTATTAGACGTCAGCGTTACATTGACAACATGCGACATGTTTCTCCTCTGGGGAAAATACGTATTAACCATTATTGTCACAACTAGTCTCTCCATACGGAAATATGCCCAAGAGCCTTTGTAATGGTAAACTGACAAAAACACTCTGTGTCAGTGTCAGAAGCTGGTGTAAGCACCACGTTGTACGATGTTGTTAATAACATGCTTACCCATAGATACCAGATGTTAACTTAATTGAGATATTGAGCCAGGGATCAATCAATACAAACGTACAGAGACGTAAAGATGCCCTTGAGGGGCAAGTAACACCCATAACATACGCATCGGTCTATGCATAAACTGGGCTGTCACATATGTCGAGGTTGGGGCAGTATACCTTTTCGCGAACACCCGGTATCATTTGATAGGGATTCATAGACACATGTCAATGATATAGCGGAATTGTACAATCGACACTCTCTCTTAGCAGATGGGTCGCTGGGGTAGCCTAGTGGTTAAAGCGTAAGCTCGTCACGCTGTAGGCCAGAGTTAGCTTCTCTACATGGGTACAATGTGTGAAGCCCATTTCTGGTGTCCCCGATGTGATATTGCTAGAATATTGCTAAAAGCGGCGTGAAATTTCACTCACTCACTCACTCTCTTGGCAGACATTTCTTATGTATGTCGGAAGGGGTTGGTCGCATTTTTTTTTAAAAATAAATATGTATTCTTTGCTAAAAAATCAGTAACGCGTGGATAATGACCAAGATCATCTTTAATTGAGGCTGGGTTCCAATACACAACAGATGTTGTCTACTCACGTCCGTAATACTTCATATGTACATACATTTGCTTGCAATGTCAAGCTCATTTATCAAATTATATGGGTGGCTCAATTCTGCACTGGTAGATACTTGCTTTAAGAAAATACGAGATCTGGGCCTAGATTTTCGAAGCTCTCTTAGCGCTAAGAGAGCTTCGAAAATCTATGCCCTGTGCGCTAAGCTTGAAATTAATGACAATGATGTCTTTTTAAAATTAAGTTTGAAATACTTATTAAGTATACTTTCAAACGTATTCCACCTTACGTACGTAACCTTCAAACGGTAGTTAAAGGTGTATAATCACAATAAACAACTATTTATACACGTTGTTATTGTGAAGCTAATCAGAGTAAAGTTACAATTGTCGTTTCAGTAGTGCTGTTTAATATACTGTACATTCTCGTCTCCTATAACATGGCATAGACGTTGTAAAACGAAAAGTCATATTTCTGTGGTAATCCAATGTGCGATATGTTCTTGAACTCCTTTGACCAATCAAATGACTCCAGATTGTTTGCTGTAGTTGGACCACTTATGATCGAGGCTGAGCTGTTCAAGGCCAGGTCGACATCTGTTACCTAGTTTAAAAAAGAAAATAAGACATGTTTCAGATGCTGCTAACATCCAACCTCTTTTCATTTCTGTTTTACTCGCCCGGAGTATGTCTGCGTGAGTGCGTGCGTGTGTGATGATACGAAACTAGTTGAGGCAATCATCACATATAACATTTCCTTACATTCCTGCACAGTGTGTCTGGAGGGGGTGGGCGCAGGGTGCTGGGGTGATTTTTATGTTAAAGTATTACTATGTTTACTTAAAGTCATCGTTCTTTTTTATTACATGTCACAAGAGGGTGTTCACCGCCAGTCAATATTCCATCGGTCTGTAAATAATCGAGTCAGGACAGGATTTACCAGTGCATGATATTTGGGCAACGCCCCATGTCTTCGAGTAACGATAACAAGCTCGTGGTTTAAGCATTAGCTCATCACGCAGAAGATCCCGGTTCGATTCCCTACATGGGTACAATGTGTGAAGCCCATTTCTGGTGTCCCCCGCCGTGATTTTGCTTGAATAGGCTAAAAGCGGTGTAAACTTAAACTCACACATTTGGGGGAGAAAGTGTAATGACATATGGTGGCACCACCACAGGCCCTCGGGTCTTAGCAAGGATTATATTTTTTTAATGTATTCAAATTTGAGATGACTCCCGACTGGAAATGCTACACAGTACAATACATAATGACATGGCCGGACACTTTGGTGCACCCCACCCGACTGCTTTACCGATCGCTACGCTACCATCGAATGCAATCGTTTAAAACTAAATGTAAAAATAATCATGGATGATTGGCCTATCGAGCACCACTCATGACACCTACCAATTCTTTATTGTTATGTCTGCAAGTCGATTGAAACCCGATTTTTATTTGCGCAGCTATATCGTGTCAAGTTTAGTTACGAGTCAAAATCGTTGCTGCATGATAATGTCCGCCCAGAAGTTACATGTGTTGTAACAAACCTTTTGAGGCAGCAAAACACTGCTATTTTGCCATGACAGAAAATGTACAAGATGGGATGGGCCGAAGCCTACGACAGGACCAAAATTGCATGTAATGCTAGCCGCCCAGTGGATCAGTCTATGGAACCAGTTCCTGTGTCCTGCTTTCACTCATCTTTTTGACCGAATCACTATCATGTGTTTAATAATCACTGACAAACTGATGACACAAGATGTTCGCGAAACGGTGAGCATACCCTTGTCACTGCGCCCGTCCCACGAACATGCTAAGGCAAGGTTTTGAAAAGCACGATATACACGTCAAAATAGAGAACTGATTTATACTGGACATCGTCTGATCACTGGCGCGGTTTGACAGCCATCAACCTCAATACAATCAAACCATTTTAACGCTTTACTGTGGTTTTAAAGTTTGCCACCCTGACCAAACAATACTTTTCAGCAAGAGTCGTATGAGTCTTTGAAGTCTTCCTGGAAAGAGTACGGTTCATTGTACCAAAGGGGAAGCTTTCAGCTGCTGAAATATTGCTTGTCATAAACGGATTGAAGTATTTCCTCAGCGAATATTTTTACTATTCTTAATTTTTATGCATAGATAAAAAAATGAAACAGTGAAGGTCTGGCCCGACTTTCATATATCGAAAGTTCACATTATGGAGCTTGGTTATTTGACCAGTGCTGAGATTGTGTATATGCCTGAAGCTTAAGTTAATTCCCGATTTATATGCACAAGGAAACAGATCAGCAAGGCGGGGACCATTAAATGTGCCCGTGGGGTGTTTACTTTGTGGCTAAATGCCACATCTTCAAATTTCAAATAGATATTCCTTTTGAGTAATTCCACCCTCTCACAATTCATTTCTCATTTGTCACAAACATCCAAACAAATCCACAAGCATGGCCACAGGGTATGGGTTCCACTTGTTTCAAATACTTCCTGTTAATATCAGGAAAGTCCTTGTTGACAGCCAGTCTAAGTGAACTTAGGCTCAGTATTATTCGTTACACTGCTATACTGAGTCTAACAAACCCTAGAAGAAGGTCGGGTCAGCTAACCTTTGGGAACTGACCAATCAGAACACAGCTTACCAAATCGCCAAATTCAACATTCGCACATACCGTTTGAACTTTTACCTCGGAAACTCGAACGATTCCGAATGCTATTTTCCGCACGATCGGTTCCGAGTGTTATACACATGGAGGACGCATTATTCACAACAGCGAGTAAACAGTCATCTTGCGGAAATATAAGCTAATAGTAACCATGTCATCAGAAACCCTTAAGCGTATATACTGCAGGTCAAATATCTGTGTTTTATGCGGATTTTCGTTTGTTGAGCAATCAGTGTCAGCGACCAGGGAAGAGAAAATAAAAAAACCGTTTTGTAAGTCCCGCCTTATAGCAGCTACGGTATTTTGGGGGACAAAGACACACATATGTCCTGCTTCCTCTTTGTGATTATGAGCATCCTATCAATCACAGGGCGGTGGGGTAGCCTAGTGGTTAAAGCGTTGGCTCGTCACACCGAAGACCCGGGTTCGAATCCCCACGTGGGTGCAATGTGTGAAGCCCATTTCTGCTGTCCCCCACCGTGATGTTGCTGGAATATTGCTAAAATCGGCGTAAAACCAAACTCAGTCAGTCAGTCAGTCTACCAATCACAGCATTACACACTGACTTCACCCACTCGGAAAACCATTCAACAGGTTCATCATCTCCTCTTGCCCACTTGTAGCACATACTGCGACAGAATCATAACTGGGTTTTGTTCCAAATTGGTAAAGAGTCACCCAAGATATTTAGCTCCGTATTTCAATGGTGATTGTTGTTATTGTCAACAATAGAAATGTCAGTGATTATAAGACCAACAAGTTGGAAGGCTTGGATTTGGTCTTGGCAGCATCAATCAGTGGAACTGGCACTGTGAACTGTCTTCTCACGTTTCTGCAACACGTTTATATGTTTCTATGTTACCTTAGTGTCAATGCACCCATCTGCCACGGGCCCCGGCGTCACCAGGTCGCCCCGACAACAAACAGCATAGCAAGCATTATCTTCCGAAAAAAGGGTCATTGGCATAATCTGAAACGCAAGGGAAAACTGAGGACAATTGATGTCACTATTTGAAAAGCCGAAACTAAGCTGGTACTGATGTTACAAACTTAGTCTTTGGGCTTGTATTCCACCGGTATTCATTTTCAGAAAATGACACATATATATGTCTTAACCAGCTGGACATCATCTATAGTCTAGACCATATAGAATTGATATGTTACTGTGAGATATAAAGATTGGTGTTCATTTCCAAACAGCTTTATCCCGGTGTTTTGGAAAAAAGCCATTCAGTACAACCTTATAAATTAGCCTGAAGCAAAAATATATTTTAGAAATGAATTCATCAACCTATATTATGTCACTAAGAAATGTATGTTTTTCGCATTTCATAAAAAACATTGTGTGGAATCATACCGAGTCTTCAGTTACCACTTCTCTATCTCGTCTCTCCTCGTCAGTTTATGGAGTCAAGTATGAGAAATATGTCAGAAGATATTATTCCCATTATTTTGCAAGAATTACTGTCTTGTATAGTTTTGCACCTAAATATCCTTGAAAATAATATGAGGAGAAAGTCGAAACTCCATAAATGTGGTCATAAGTTCTGTACCATTTAATCCATGTAGTCATATCCTATTGATTCCAATGCTGGGCTAAACTTATAAACTGAGTAGGACAGAAAATGATAAAAATTGTGACAATCAGAGTATTTACCGTTAGATCTGAGCAGCTGTTGGGCGGTCTCCATGTCATGGATGGTGCTATGGTCTCGACGGAATATTTTCGCCCGAGGGGCCATCTCATACGAGTAATCGGAGCCGTGCACAGATACAAATTCAGGATAGCCACTGATGTTGTAGATGCTCTCGTAAAAGGGGACGTTGTAGGACGCCCAATAGCCTTTGAAAAGTTAATGATACAAATATAGAGTTGGATGAAGTATCGATAATTAGATAAATAAGCCTCCGGAAATACTTCTTTTTAAAGAGCTCAAGGATTAGACATTTCAGGCGTACATATGAGTTTCTCAATGATATATAATAAAATATATAAAAATATAATGACATTCAGGATTAGTTTCACATATGGGTTGAATTACGGCGCCCGTGACTATAGGTACAAAAAGGGCATCCTACCCTGGCACACAGTCACAGTAAGAAAAACAGCAAACGTGTTTATCCACCGGGTAGTCCACCCCGTAGGGTTTTTATTGTTTTATTTTTGTTGTTGTTGTTGTTTTTATTGTTCCCAATACGTTGAATACAAGCATATAGGGGAATATGTGTACAAAACAGCTTGTGGGTATAGTACATTAAATATCAATATCAGTAATATGTTTTGGTTAAATAGCCATTCAGCATTAAATTCTGGGATGGGAGGAAACCATTTGGCTAAAAAGCTTTCATCACTATTATTTCTACTGGAAATGAATTTTTCAGTGGTGAATATGTCTTTCAATATCCTTAAGTAATTATCAACTTTTGGAGTATTTTTTTTCAAAGAGCAAGTGTAAATATACCTTGACGAAATTAATTTGCAACCACAAGATATTAATCATATTTGTAAAAATGCCAGTGTGTTCCGTAAAAGTGAGTGAGTCAGTATAGCAATATTCCAGCAATATCAGGGCAGGAGACACCAGAAATGGGCTTCACACATTTTTACCCATTTGGGGAATCGAACCCGGGTCCTCGGCGGGACGAGCGAACGCTTTAACCACGAAACTACCCCCACCGCCCCTTATGTGTTGTAAAGAAGGTGAATGGACGTTCATACCTTTTCTCAGTATCTGTGTCTGGTCACCTGATACTACGAGCCCGGGAATCTGTTCCACCACCCACAGTAAGTTGTCCTCAAGGTGTTGCTTGGGCTGGTAACGCTTCAAGTCTATTACCATGTACTGGTTCATGTAAGTGCCTACAAACATACGGTTAGAGTGAGTGAGTGAGTTTAGTTTTACGCGCTTTTAGCTTCTGGGACACCAGAAATGGGCTTCACACATTGTACCCATGTGCGGAATCGAACCCGGGTTTTCGGCGTAACAAGCGAACGCTTTAACCACTAGGTTACCCCATTGCCCCTATATAAGCTTAGAAGGTAGCCTACACGTTCTTTGTGGGGTACATTAGCTATTGTGTGTGAGATAACCATACGTTTGTCGCAAACTGTCAGTTCCATATTGGCGTAAGAGCAACAAGTGGAACTCCTTTATTTGCCCATGTTAATCGTTTAATAAACTCTTATGTGTGGCCTTGGTGACTCACTTGGTTTAGATCGGATGTATGTCCTCAAACAAACGTTTACCGGAAACACTGATCTGGATCTCAGGCGAGGTGAGGTGACTTCAAACGTATCGTTCACGATTATTTCACCTTTATAGTTATGCGCATGTGCTAGATCGGACAAATGCCGGTGTTGTAGTGAGAGAAAAGACCCCATTGACAGAGGCCGTAAACGTTTATCCACATCACCACGTGGGTGGGAAAACAAAAGATCATTATCGGACCGAATCTGGGATTCGAACCAACGACCACCGGATCGTGGTACATAAAAATGCTCAACTTGACACTGTGGAGTGGAGTGAGTTTTTACGCCGTTTTTAGCAATATTCCAGCAATATCACGGCGGGGGATACCAGAAATGGGCTTTACACATCGTACCCATGTAGGGAATCGAACCCGGGTCTTCGGCGTGACGAGCGAACACTTTAACCAGTAGGCTACCCCGCCGCCCCATTTGACACTGTGAACTCAAGACAAGAAGGTATATTTTAAGAAAACCGGAAAGGATGAAGGGACAAGGGGAGATAATCGATAAACTTAGAATTACTTGTTTGTTTAGTTTAACGCCGCAATATCCCAGCTACATGGCGGCGGTCAGTAAATCAGTCAAGTCTGGGTCAGACAATCAAGTGATTGACATCAATTGGGATACGATGACATGCATCAGCGACCCTGATGACGACCCGATACCGTTAGACGCCGATTATAATAATACTGCGTTGCAGAAGGCCGGTTCAGAATCGGATCTGCACGGGTTCACTTACATGTAGAAGCATCGCTGGCTCGTATGTTTTCAAACTAAATGGGAATTAAAATGAATACGTTTTTCCCTGTCAGCACACCACGAAAACCATCGTGTCTGGGCCAGACAACCCTGTGATGTGGGTAAAGACCTACGGCGTCGGGGTACGTGTAAAATCAAACAGACCAAACGCTCCTCTTCACAATAACACTTTTGGTTTACTGTGGACCTGTACCCCAGGATCCTCATGAGGTGAGGTGAAATTGGGTTTAACGTCGTGCTTGAGAATAGCTCGCTCATATGACGACGTGCATGCTTGTGTATGTGTATGTGCGGCTGCTTGTACTAGCCCAGACTGAAGCTGGTTTTATAGTGCTAGCTCACTGAGATACCATGCCGCAGTGAAGCATGAATACCCCACTCAGACACATTATACTGACTCCGAGCCGACCAGTCCTTGTTTTACCCATTAATGCCGAGCGCCAGGCAGGGACCAACAAGTACCATATTTTAACGTCTTTTGGTATGACGCGGTCGGGGATCGAACCCGCGACCTTCCGGGATCCCTATGAAATACTCAACATTGTTATGTTACCTGAGTTAAATCTCTTGTACATTTCTGCCCACTCCGGTCCCGATGTTGCCGCCATGTTGGCGACTCGGACTCGCTGCCAGGCAAGAAGGGAATGAGGTTGTATGAGGTTGAACAAAGAAGCGTTGAAGATGTCGTTGGTAGTCTGCAACATCACCAACGATGTGTCGCTCATAACGTAGAAGTCATCAACCGATGCCAATATTCCTGAAACAAATATTTCTGTGAGGATCGCGTACACACTGCATGGCAAACATCAAAATGGACACTACTTGAATTGATGTCAATGAGGATCGGGAGCGGAAAATTGTGTTTCGTTTCTGTTTTATTGTCAACCTGCTGTTCGTTTTCTTTCTTGTATGAAACTACTCCAGAGATATTTGCTAGCTTGTTTGTTGTGTAACGCTGTAGGTTTTACACTATATGGTAACAATCTGTCTCTGTGAACAGATTTTATGAAGATTTGGAATCTTGTGCAGAGGAGCCTACAGGGTCGAACATCAGTTGATAGAGCTAGAACTAATGCATGGATTTGGTAGATTCCATCCTTTTGTTGGTTGTTCGAGGCTTAACGCCGCTCTTAGCAACATTCCAGCTGAAGAACGCCAATCTGTACATAATCAAGTCTGGACCAGACAATCCATTGACTGACAGCATGAACGCCTATTTACGTTACTGGAAAACTAACACAAGAGACAACCAAGTCAAAGAGCCTGACACCCCGATCCCGTTAGTAGCCTCTTACGACAAGCATTGTTTGCTGAAGACTAATTCCAAAAAGGGATCTTCATGGGTCCTCTAAACAATGTAAGGGGTACACCAATCATGATACCTTGAAAACAAATTAGAAATATTACTTTAAAGCAGTAAATTAAGTGAAACCAACGGAATTTAGAAATTAGTCACACAAACTTGTGATTTAATCAGAACGTAAACAAACAAGTACGCGGCATTGATGTACAACGGTCTCTGCTAAAAGCTTACATGACAATAGTAATGGTTGTGTCGCTTTTGTTTTCTATTAAAGTATTACCTTTTAAAGGCACAATGTCACACAACATTTCTCTAATGCATTTCTCTCAATAATACGAACTATCAGCCCTCAGGGAAGCTACCATATAATTTATTCCAAAAACAATTACGTATTCAGATTACAATATTAAATTAAAACGTTAGAATGAATTAATGCAACATTGCATTAAATCGACTCTCGCGCCCTCTACCTGCCGAACATTATTTCAAGCGAACCCCATAGAGTTATGTCCCTTAGAGAGCTCTATACGAATATCCTACGCACAACTTGTGATTGAAACCAGTTCGGCAAACACCGACAACACCGCGTGCGACAGTTTTCGATGTACAGAGCAATCTTTACATTCCATATATGGCAAGTGTTTATGTTTGGAAGCGGTTCGCCTCGAAGTTTCAATTATCGATTTCAGGCAAGGGATAATAAGTATTTTATTGCATCAATAGGAAGCTATAGTGAGGGCATATGCCCCCAATATATAAAATATAGGCCAAAATATTGTCAAAATTGTGTGACATTGTGCCTTTAAGGATCAGCGAAATCATGACACAATTACAGGAAACAATAAACATATGCAAGTACAAAACAATGAAAGCGATCACAAATAAGAATGCAAATTAGTTCTATACTCAGATACAATATGATTGTTTACTCATGCTAAAGAGAAGCATTACGTTAAACCTACATAACACTAATGTGCCTGGAATCATATCTGAATATAGTCACAGTAATAACTGTTGTAGAGTTTTTTATCCAACAATATCGTGTTTGCTGTCGATTAAGTTGATTCATAAACTGCAGAATAAAAGATCGCCCTGTGACGTCATCACGTTGCGGTGCCGACTTCTCGCTGTTTACAAAACGGTTCTGGATGAGGACGTATCCTCATCTGATGATCACAAAAGTGTTGAGTTGGGTATTAGTCTTGACGAACGGCGGTTGGCAGATATCCCCTGCAGCCGTGGTACTGTTGGCGAAGGAATGGTAACAGCAGAAACTGAACAACATTGTCCAGATCTGGACGTGGTTGCAACGGACGATATTCATTCCCAAACCATGGTCCATGGCATTTTTGTTAAACAAATTTGTTAAACAGATAGAGATCTTTGCCTTACTTTCAACAAGCGGTGGAAGAGCCTAGTGGTTAAAGCGTTCAATCGTCACGCCGGGTTCGATTCCCCACATGGGTACAATGTGTGAAGCCCATTTCTGGTGTCCCCCGCCGTGATATTGCTGGAATATTGCTAAAAGCGACGTAAAACCCAACTCACTCACTAACTCACTCACTACTTTCAACAACATAACATTTACACGGCTTTATATGATTCTCTCCGCTTGTGTAGGGTTTCATACGGCGGGATTGGTTCAGACGAAAAGATCACAAGATGAAGCTATCATGGTAACAGCACACCCTTCCAAATGTCATCATTTACATGTTTGTAAGAAAGTTGATATTTTGCAGACCTTATATATTTCGATTTGTTGCGACAACAGACATATATTAACGGTTCACTTAACGTAGCTGGAAATCGGAGTTTTAATGACATTATCATCTTCAGCAGACTTTGACACCTGAAACACTTCTTAGCATTCAGACAAAACCGATCTTTCTAGCATTGAAGTGATGAGTCGTTTTACTTTATGGTCATTTGCAAGTAAACAATGAGTAAGGTGATCCGGAATACGAAAACATAAAGCCTCCGCTCTGTGTTTCTATCATCTGGGGGGACGGTGGGATAGCCTAGTGGTTAAAGCGTTCGCTCGTCACGCTGAAAACCCCGGTACGATTCCCCACATGGGTACTATGTGTGAAGCGCATTTCTGGTGTCCCCGCCCTGATATTTCTGGAATATTGCTACAAGCGGCGTACAAATATACTCACTCACTCACTGTCGTCTTCGGTGGGTGAGCGAGTTTAATTTTACGCAACTTTTAGCAATATTCCAGCAATATCACAACGGGGGACACTAGAAATAGGCTTCACACATTGTACCCATGTAGGGAATCGAATGGCGTGACGAGCGCATGCTTTAACCACTAGGCTACCCCACCGAAACTTCGGAGGAAATGAGGGCTAGGGACAATGGATGATAGATATTAACCCACGAACAAGTTGTGGTACAAAAAATGTTTGTGGTATATAAATCTTAAGCCTAGACATCAATGGTGTAGCCATATCTAGGTGGTGCATGGACCGTTTGCAATAGAAACCCTTTGTCAACAGTGTGACACACGCTCAACGAGGGTCCATGACAGCCAGCTTTTTCGATAGTGAGTGCGTTTATTTTTTCGCCGCTTTTAGCAATATTCCAGCAATATCACAGCGGGGCACACCAGAAATGGGCTTCACACATTGTACCCATGTGGGGAATCGATTCAGGGTTTTCGGCGTGACGAGCGAACGCTTTAACCACTAGGCTACCCACCGCAAATTTTTCGATGGTCACCGGAGGCAATTAAACAGGGTTCTCTTGTAACCTGCTATCTTAGCATGAAATGTAGTCATTTATTTGTTGTTTGTGTCGCGGTCAGCAATATTCCACTTATTTGTGGTCTTTAAGTAATCGAGTCCAGATCACACAATCTAGTGATTGACATCATAAGCATCGACTTAGGCGATAGGAATTATATTACATGCATCTACCAAGTCAATGGGTCCGTCCGCCGATTCCAATATTCTCCTCTTACGACCAGCTTTGTGTTCCTGAAGGCCAGGTGTAATCCAGATCTTCATAAACTCTTGTAAAATCATAAAGTTTTAAACATGTCAAATAGAACCTATACCTTCATGTACGGAGACCAAAGAAAAACAGTGAGATGAACACTTCAGCCAGCGGCAGTCGTATATTTCAAAGTTCACCCATCACCCTTGAATATACCTGTGAGGTCTTTTTGCGGTGAACTCGCTGTTCTTACTGCCGGGGCACACCGGTAATAGGCTTCACACAGTATACCAGTCTGGGGAATGGAACCACTAGGCTATCCCATCGCGCCTTTAGGGACCGTTCATAATTTATGGTTAGGTGGGGTGATAATGATTTCAAGGGGGGGTCACCCATATTTGGGAGGAGGGGCTGTCGTTGATTTTGTACATGACATGCAGGGGGATCACTTACTTTCTACCTTTTTTTTTTTTTTTTGGTGGGGGGCATTCACATTGTACACACTTCTCCATAAAATCAACATCATTCTTCACCCCCACCCCTCGCCCTAAATTATGAACGGTCCCTTAGCATGGAAAGGGGATAATTTGAATTATATGCCACGCCTAATTCGGTTGCCTTGGAACAATAGATATACGCTACGACTAGTTCAGCTACTACAGCGCAGCGCGGCCGTGTTGACGATGCACTATAAGGGAAGGTGCTGCCAGAGGCTCGAGTCAGCATTCCCAGTAAGCAGGGGCCACTAACCTGGATAACTTGAGAAGGACATCGTTTTGACCTTGGTGGTTTCGTCCTGCAGTTTGAAGGTCCAGTACTTGTATATCCTCAGCATGGTCTGGTACAGGAACCAGGTGGAGTGGCCCATAAATATGTTATCGAAGTTGTCAGTTACCTGAGGGAGAAACTATAGTTATTAAAAAGTTGCAGTGTGCTTTGGTATAGGAAAAGATGGGCAGTGTGTTGGCCTGGAGGTGTATCCGTCAATATCCGGGCTAGAATTGGTCTTCAGAAAGCTATGCTTGCCGTGAGACAACTAACGGGATCAGGTGGTCAGGCTCGCTGACTTGGTTGACACATCTCAACGTATCCCAAATGCGTAGATCGATGCTGATGCTGTTGATCACTGGATTGTCTGGTCCAGTCTTGATTATTTACAGACCGCCGCCATATAGCTAGAATATTGCGGCGTTAAACAACAACCAACCCAAAGTATGGTGGATAACGTGTTTGCCCGTTGCACCGAAGGGTTCCATTCCCCTGTGACCCGTGAAGATCCGGGGTAGAATAGGTCTTCAGCAATCCATGTGCTTGCCATAAAAGGCGACTATGCTTCAGTAACTCATGCTTGTCGTAAGAGGCGACTAACGGGATCGGGTGGTCAGTTTCGCTGACTTGGTTGACACATGTCATCGGTTCCCAATTGCGCAGATCGATGCTCATGCTGTTGAACACTGGATTGTCTGGTCCAGACTCGATTATTTACAGACCGCCGCCATATAGCTGGGATATTGCTAAGTGCGGCGTAAAACTAAACTCACTCACTCACTCATATCCCCGGTGCTCCTTGGACTGTTGCACTCACGGACTTACCCACTCACACCTTCAGTTTCACTCTCTTTGTCGGATCTTTGTCGAGCAACAGCACGAAATCAGGCATGTCGACATCAGATCATGCGAGCATCAGACCAATGCCAGCCTCTGGCTGATTCTGCAATAACCTTGTCCCAACCTCTACAAATACTTGCATGACTTCCGACAGATGATACGGAATGTTGCGAACTAGGCACAAATCAATGTAGGACACCACGGTTAAGGCATCGCTGCTACTGTTGGTCGTCCTCTGTCTTCATAGCTTCAGTAAAAGCCCCCACTCAATGAGTTACGTACGACATCGGTTTTAACAGTATTTTAGTGACATGTAAATCACGGGCACTTATCTCCAAGTTGGAGAAAATCCCAAAGCCATGCAGTTTCTAGACGTTAGAACATTTGTGAAATCCCAAATCGATAAATATCGGTTTCTTGCCCTCCTAAGGGACGCAACTCCGCAGAGCGAAGGCAGCACAATTTATGAGGGTGGACGGGTTCACAACTGAATGAGCTAAGGTCTACTTCATAGCAGTGCGTGTAAAATTCAAAGGCAGTTTAAAATCGATAGTTTGAACTTTGCAATCGGTGTCACAGGATGTGTCTGTAGTACGCCGCACTATTTCAGAAGCTGGTAGCACCTCTTTTCAGGAGGGGCGGTGGGGTAGCCTAATGGTTAAAGCGTCCGCTCGACATGCTGAAGACCCGGGTTCGATTCCCCACATGGGTGCAATGTGTGAAGGCCATTTCTGGTCCCCCGTGATATTGCTGGAATATTGCTAAAAGCGGCGTAAAACCATACTTACTCACTCACTCACTGTTTTCAGGAGACTAACAGGATTGGGTGGTCAGGATCGGTCACACATGTCATGGTATCCCAAATGCGTAGATCGATGCTCATGGTGTTGATCACTAGATTGTCTGGTCCAGATTCGATTATTTACAGACCGCCTCCATATAGCTGGAATATTGCTGAGTGCGGCGTAAAACTAAACTCAGTCACTCACTCGTATCCCAATTGGTTAGATCGATCCTCAAGCTGTTGATCATTGGATTGTCTGGTCCAGACTCGATTAATTACACACCGCTGTCCTCTAGGTGGAATATTGCTGAGTGCAGCGTTAAACAACAAACAAACACGTGTTCTGAACCGGAATTATCACGAGTGGACAATGTTACATTCAGAATCCAGCGGACTTGTTTTTGGTAGTGGAAGGGATGTAACTCTTGTAATGTATGACATCAACTGACGATTTTATCAAGTAGCTCATCAAACAATAATAAAGTTTTCACGATAAATACTTGTAAAATTTAGTGTAGAGTTCGACAGCGTTCGAGGTGTGTCAGTAAAAGTTTCCGAAACCAAGCACACTTTAGTCCTACATAAGGTGTTATTTCGTGGAAAGGAATAAAGTCTAACGTGCGTCTGTATAAGGACATTCCATCATTTTTCTGACACAACTGAATCCCGAAGGTAGCTATGACGTGATATAACCACCCTGTCATAGCGCGACCGCGCGAGCTGACTTCAAGGGAGAGTGAGTAACTTTAGTTTTACAAATATCCCAGTGATATCACAAAGTGGACACCAGAAATGGGCTTCACACATGGTACCCACATTGGGAATCGAGCCCGGGGTGTTCGGCGTGACGGGCGAATGCTGTAACCAATAGGCTACCCCACCGCTACCTTCAAAGGAAAGAGGGTGAAGCTTTAGAAGGATGTCTTGCACTATAACCTGACTTAAATAAGTAGCTATTTTAAGAATATTCCTTCAAGACACCATAATGTCAAGATATCTTAATCATTGGGAAGATATGCAGAAATACAATTAATGCATGTCAGTAACAAGGATTTTTTTAATGAAGTAAAAAATATCTCAAGACCCTTGTCCTTTAGAAAATACATAATCCGGAGAACGGAACCTTCAGGGAGATCTTAATTCGTTAAGGATATGTTAAGTCCCATAATGTGACCTTTGTTTCATGGAATTTGGAACGAAAAGAATCTTCTACGTTGTAGACATGTTTCTTCATTTGGGAAATTCTAAATTCTGAGAGATAAAAATGACTAGAAAGCAGATATTCTGGAAACATGTAAAACAACGCTGTGCTTCAAATGCACTTGTTTCATTTACATTTAAAATCATTTTACATTTTTGTACTAGAACAGAATATTTCATTCTGTTACTTTGATGGAGCAAACACATTTGGAAAAATGACAGTGTGGGTTTTTTCAGGTTAAAGCATCATTTATATCCATATTCTAAATAACTTACAATTGTGCAAATGTGTTACCAAATATGGTCACCAAATATGAATGCATGATGGGATTAAAAGAAACTCCTGCTTTTAACTGACTTTAAACGTACCAAAATGTCAAGCCAATTCACAGTCACACATTACTAACTTGGTGAAATTGACGATGTTATACATGATAATCACTGTGAATTCATAATGTGCCTTTTCCATGTAAAAGGGCACATGCTCAAAGCGCTAACGACCGCCTCCGTGGTGTAATGGTTAGAGTGTCCGCCCGGAGAGCGGAAGGTCGCGGGTTCGATCCCCGACCGCGTCATAGCAAAAGACGTTAAAATATGGTACTTGTTGGTCCCTGCCTGGTGCTCGGCATTAATGGGTACAACAAGGACTGGTCGGCTCGGAGTCAGTATAATGTGTCTGAGTGGGGTATTCATGCTTCACTGCCGCATGGCATCTCAGTGGGCTAGCACTATAAAACCAGCTTCAGTCTGGGCTAGTACAAGCAGCCGCACATACACATACACACGTATGCACGTCTTCATATGAGCGAAATATTCTCAAGCACGACGTTAAACCCAATTTCACCTCACCTCACCTCAAAGCGCTAACACACAAACTGATTATTATTAGCCCGGATAACCAAAGCTGACTGTTAGGCGCTAGAGGGTTATAGTCACATGACTTTATCTTACCGGGTACCCATTTTCTGCTGGGTGAACAGAGGCAAGTTTGAACAAACGGCTAAGGTGAGACCTCATGTATCACATGGGCTTCGGTGTGAGGCAGGACTGTCCTAGAAACTCACAGGAGTCAAGCTGCCAAACACGGTCACCCATCCAAGTACAATCCGCGCCCACCGTTGCTTAACTTAAACTGATTTGTTACCCGAGCTCTACGCACAGGACAATACACCACCACATTCAGATAAGCTTGAATATATCTGAGGCCCAAAGTGCGATGGAACAATTTTTGACTAAAGTTTATGTATTAAAACATGTTGATCAATAGCTTGTCGGGTGTCTTATCACATCATTTTTCCAAGACGTGATGGAAATACCAGAGGCTGAACTTTACTGAAGGTTTATGTCCAGCCATTAAAATATATTATTTCAAAGCTTCATAAAGGCCAGTTTCATGTCGAATTTTTGCTGATTAACTTCCAGCTGCGTTGGTCTGGTACGAGATGTACGTAATGCAGTCAATTTATGCAGGAGGTTCAATCTTCGCTTCTGTGTGTGTGTGCGTACGTACGTACGTACGTGCGTGCGTGCGTGCGTGCGTGTGTATAACGATGTAGAGCAAACAATGTATGCGATCTACAGCAAGTTGGGAATTTCTTAAGATTAAACAAAAGAGCCTTTGCTTCAACTTAAACCTACCAAAATTAAGTTTTAGGTCCTCAAGCAAACACAGTACATATTTGGTTTAGTGACAAAACGTTCCTCGATCGTATTGATTGAGATGGAGAATATCGCATTTTCTATTTTATTTTTATTTTCTTTTTCTCTTTTTTTCTTAACATCAAAATAAGTTCAATGTTTGGCGATAATGTTTACCACTAACCTTCACCACTGCCGAACAACGACTCCCAATTAGGAGGAAGCGGTCCACCTCTGCTTTCGTCATGGTTCTCCAGTCAGGGCGCTGTGAGGAGTTGCTTGCACTCATAATGTCGGAGAGATCACCTGAGGCGCTGAGGGCTTGGAAGGTAAAGAAATCCAGCTTCTGAAATAGATATAGGACAGATTCGTGCAACAGACTGAACATTAGTGTTGAGTTTACAATCGATTATAGTACATCTGCATTTGTCGTGTGGTAGCTTAGCCTTGTCGTCACGCCGAAGGCAAAGGTTCGATTCCAAACCATATTCCGTGTGTGGTTGGTTGGTTGGTTTGTTGTTTAACGCCGCACTCAGCAATATTCCAACTATATGGCAGTGGTCTGTAAATAATCGAGTCTGGACCAGACAATCCACCGATCAACAACATGTGTCAATCAAGTCAGCGAGCCTGACCACCCGATCCCATTAGTCGCCTCTTCGACAAGCATGGGTTACTGAAGATCAATTCAAACCCGGATCTTATTCCGTTTGTGATATTGCTTGGATTATCCTAAAAGTGGCATAAAACCACACAAACTCATTACATTCGTTTCGATGAGCATTAATCGGCTGAAGTAGTTTCGTTTGTGTAGTACAAACTTAATCATGAAGTATATTAATATGTGTTCCTTCTTGTTAAGGTGTACATTATTTGAGATGACAGTATATTCCTAATGAACACATGAACACATCTAAAATGTAATGCCCAATATAATGGATTAACAAAGATTTCCCATGGACAGACATTAAATAATCAATTTGTTCTTCTCATTTCTGAATCTAACTGGTGGAATTTCGAAAAATCATGTATATATTTGGGCTTGGGAAAGGTTTAGATGGTTTTAACCAAAAACAGAGGTTAGGTGAGGTGAGGTGAAATTGGGTTTAACGTCGTGCTTGAGAATATTTCGCTCATATGACGACGTGCATGCGTGTGTATGTGTATGTGCGGCTGCTTGTACTAGCCCAGACTGAAGCTGGTTTTATAGTGCTAGCCCACTGAGATACCATGCCGCAATGAAGCATGAATACCCCACTCAGACACATTATACTGACTCCGAGCCGACCAGTCCTTGATGTACCCATTAATGCCGAGCACCAGGCAGGGACCAACAAGTACCATATTTTAACGTCTTTTGGTATGACGTGGCCGGGGATCGAACCCGCGACCTTCCGCTCTCCGGGCGGATGCTCTAACCACTACACCACGGAGGCGGTCAGCAAAAACAGAGAAGACCAAGGTGAGTGGGGGACTTTCGTTTCATGTCTGTTTAAAGGGCTGTACATGTTTAACGCCTTTGTCAAACACACGAGCTTGGTGCTAACAAACATTGAAACATAATCAAGATGATCTAGGATTTGAACCCAAGGTCATAGGTTTCTGGGATACCCATTGGAGACAACTCCGCACAACTTGTTGCAGCGCCTTAGATGTCGGGTCACCCCTGCCGCTGCAGACCTTAAATTATAAATACTTCTCACCTCTTCAGTCGTGGACCAGTCGTTGTAGCCAGTGTATAAGCCATCCAGCTGTGCAGTCACGTGACCAACATGTCGCCAAAACGGGTCCGTGGACGAGAATTGTAATATCATGTCACGTGTCCACCTGTCCTGTTCGTGTAAAAACTTTCGTGCAAACGCAACCACGGCTTGCGGCCGCGAAAGGAAGAACGGGTTTTTCACATTTTGGTAGTGCTGGTATATCCTCCTGAAATGGAACATGCTAAACGAATAGGCGTTGGAATGGTTAGAGGCCGACTATTTCATACTTATAGTATTCAGTATGGAATACACTCAATTACTTTATGTATAATGCCATTTTATTACCTACGCGGGCGAACATATCGAGGTTCATACTTTTCGTACGATGCCCTAGGGCAAAATATCACTTTGTCATGGTGACGTGACGTCATGAACAATGCTATTACGTCACGTTTCTTCTGTGACGTTGCGTTCTACATGCCAGCTTATGCTTGAAAGTAGATTTGGGTTTATTTTCCTCAATTTGACGACTTATATTTGTTCCCATATCATACGACACTCGTGCCTAAACATTGGTGTATCCCTTGCTCTCACTTGGGAAAAAACAACATTGGCACTCGTGTCGTATACATAGTATGACATGGGCACTCATATAATATCCTCTATATAATACCCTGTACACCCAGCACAACAATGTATTGTTAAATGTGTATATTTTATCACGAATATATTTTTATCAGTATTGTCAGTAACAAATGTGTTTTATCAAACAAGAGAGAATACTTGTTTATGCTGATTTTCCAGCTGTTGCAAACAAATTCAGTCTAATACCTGACCTTAATGTATTGGTAAGAGCGTAATAACGAGGATGTAAATACCTACTGATGCTTATAACAGCTATAACGGTATAGACAACAACAATGAAATCGATTGCAGCCACATTGGCCATTGTTAGTTTATCTCTAACACAACATATGGTAACACAGTAAAACAAATGTAATAACTGCACAAAGTCAGACTTCAATACCTAGAGTGTACTGAGGTGTCAACTGTTATCGTGAGTGAGTGAGTAAGTCTGGTTTTACGCCGCTTCTAACAATATTCCAGAAATATTACGGCGGGGAATACCAGAAATGGGCTTCACACATTGTATCCTAGTCTGTCTCACAGTCCCTGAACCACATTAATTTCCCTACTGCCAAGCCCTCTCTGCGCTGCTAAAGCCCTAAATAAAGCAAGTCTAGATTTCCTCAGGTTCTGAATCTCTGGTCTCCCTAGGGCTCCTTTTCAATATAAATGGGCTTGTTTGTTACTAACAAAATTATATATATTCAGAGACTAAGCCTTAGTATAATTGTATCCATGTGGGGAATCTAACCCGGGTCTTCAGCGTGACGAGCGGGCGTTTAAACCATTAGGCTACCCTACCGCCCCTCAACCGTTACCGACTATGAAGCCATGACAACGTTATCTCAACGACTTCATGACAACGTTATCACGACGACTCCATGGCAACGTTATCACGACGACTCAATGACAACGCTATCACGACGACTCCATGACAACGCTATCACGACGACTCCATGACAACGTCATCACGACGACTCCATGACAACGTTATCACGACGACTCCATGACAACGCTATCACGACGAATCCATGACAACGTTATCACGACGACTCCATCAACGTTATCACGACGACTCCATGACAACGTTATCACGACGACTCCATGACAACGTTATCACGACGACTCCATGACAACGCTACCACGGACGACTCCATGACAACGTTATCACGATGACTCCACGTCGTTGTTGAAACGTTGTTCCAGTATTACACGATATAATATACTTGGTACACTGGGATTACCAACACTGAAAACCCCTTGATACTACAAGTTTAAAATACAGACATTTAGTTCTTTACCAACTCAAATGTGTCAAAGTATCAGAAGTTTCGTCCTAGACATAAATCAAAGAAGGGTTTACCGTGATGTTAAAACTCCTTCCAGGTACCCTGCAGCAAACATGACGTCAGCATCGCTTGCCTGGCGACCGTAACCTGCCCGGATGTCCAGCTGCGCCCACCCTTTTTCTTCCAGGGTATCATTAAACACGCCATAAGCCGTGGCTCCCTGTTTATAGGAGAGACTGGGTGTAAAGGCGCAGTCACGGTGTTTACAGTAAACACTGCCTGACAGTACATCCCCACCTGAAATAACACAATCAGTTATAGACATAAGTTGACAAACATCCCGATTAGGCCACAAAAACTTATGTGCTGTTTGGGCCTTTTCGTTTTTCAAGGGGCGGTGGGATAGCGTAGTGGTTAAAGCGTTCGTTCGTCACGCTGAAGACCCGGGTTCGATTCCCCACATGGGTACAATATGTGAAGCCCGTTTCTGGTGTCCGCCTTGATATAGCTGGAATGTTGCTTAAAGCGGCGTAAAACTAAACTCACTCACTCACTCACTCGTTTTTCAAAGTGAGTGAGAATGGTTTTATGCCGCTTTAACAATATTCCAGCAATATCACGGCCGGGGACACCAGATACATTGTACCCGTGTGGGGCGCTAGCACGCACGCACTCGCACGCACGCACGCACGCACGCACGCACGCACGCACGCGCGCACACACACACACACATGCATACATATATACATACATACATACATTTACACACATACACCTTAGTACAATGAGATTTGCTTTGACGAATTGGGATACTTCCTTTCTTGTACACTCTGAAGTTTTAATTATGGATGCTGTCCCGTCAGGTTTCCAGTATAACGGTTTCACAGCAAACTGGGGTTAAAATGCATGTAATACGATAGACAGGTTGGGGCAACCATCCCATATAGTTCGCCTCCTTAAGTTTCTGCACAGATGTGTTTATGGTTGTGGTAACAAATTCCAATTATAACAGATCGATGTGGGAGGAAAGCCCATGTGATGCAGGTCCTATATCCATCATACACAAGGCGATGGGGTAGCCTGATGGTTAAAGCGCCCGGTCGTCACGCTGAAGACCCGGGTTCGATTCCTCATATGTCTTGAAAGCGACCACAAAGCCCAATTTGCTTCACAGAAACCCAGGGTGCGGTGGGTAGCCTATTGGATAAAGCTTCGATCGTCATGCTGAAGACACGGGTTCAATTCCCCACATGAGTACAATGTGTGAAGCCCATTAATTCTGGAGTCCCCCGAAGTGATATTGCTGGAATATTGCTAAAAACGGCGTAATACTCACTCACTCACTCACCGCCTCCGTGGTGTAGTGGTTAGAGCGTCCGCCCGGAGAGCGGAAGGTCGCGGGTTCGACCCCCGACCGCGTCGTACCAAAAGACGTTTAAATATGGTACTTGTTGGTCCCTGCCTGGCGCTCGGCATCAATGGGTACAACAAGTACTGGTCGGATCGGAGTCAGTATAATGTGTCTGAGTGGGGTATTCATGCTTCACTTCGGCATGGTATCTCAGTGGGCTAGCACTATAAAACCAGCTTAAGTCTGGGCTAGTACAAGCAGCCGCACATACACATACACACGCGTGCACGTCGTCATGTGAGCGAAATATTCTCAAGTACGACGTTAAACCCAATTTCACCTCACCTCACCTCACCTCACCTCACCTCACCTCACCTCACTCACTCACTCACATCCGACGACCACGGGTCTGTGCCTCTGGTGTGGAAACAGAACGGTGGAACATAGGCGAACTGAGATTCCTACCCACCATCGCTATTGTTTGGGTTAGCCAAGGGACGCAACTCTGCACAGCGACCACTTCGACGACTGTACACCCGGCCGTGACGCCCGTAGCAAGGCGGAACCCACACTGTGGTGCATTGCAGGACTTCAGCTGAGAACGAACAATGGGCTACTCCAAATAAACTATACGATATAAGATAACTTACCATGTACAAACGACAGGGCAATGCAGGCAAACAGGTATACGAACATCATCAGTTGTTGATATACAGTGGTGTTACACGCAGGTAAACATGTCTTCCTAAACGCTATTGACGGACTGTCACACACACCCGGAGGTAAGTCCACTGAGACGGATGTAAACCGACCGCGTGACGTGTGTCACGTGACACGTGTGACAGATGCACAGATACGCGGAAGTATATAACCGTTATTTGCCGGTCACAACAACTTGTTTCTACAGCAAACGTGTCACGTGACACTTTCAACAGCTGGTTGTTCAATGCCTGAATGTTAAATAAACTGGTTGTTGCTCTTTGTAGTTATATAGAGAATCTCACCCAAGTGTCTACTGATATCAATTATATCATCACGAGTTGATAAAGTTACAAATATTAGAGGCTTGCCGAGGATATTTTTACCTTTTTCAACGAGTGTTTGCCTTGTGCATTGTGATTTTACATCACTGTTTTGACGCTCTACGCGTTGGTTTGAAATTACTTGTCGTTTTACATGTATGAACTGGAATAATGTCTCCTTTGTCAAACAATGGGTGAGGTGAGGTGAGGTGAAATTGGGTTTAACGTCGTGCTTGAGAATATTTCGCTCATATGACGACGTGCATGTGTATGTGCGGCTGCTTGTACTAGCCCAGACTAAAGCTGGTTTTATAGTGCTAGCCCACTGAGATACCATGCCGCAGTGAAGCATGAATACCCCACTCAGACACATTATTTGGACTCCGAGCCGACCAGTCCTTGTTGTACCCATTAATGGCGAGCGCCAGGCAGGGACCAACAAGTACCATATTTAAACGTCTTTTGGTATGACGCAGTCGGGGATCGAACCCGCGACATTCCGCTCTCCGGGCGGACGCTCTAACCACTACACCACGGAGGCGCTCTCAAACTGGAGTTGTGTTAGCAATACATATGCATGTTGTGTTTTGCCTTCTCTGGATAGCCAGTTTATATCTTTATATATTTTATTTCGGATATCCCAGACTCAGTGTTCGAAATAGCCCGTGGCTAGTAAAAATCCAGTCGGGCCAGTAAATCTCCACAGTCACTGGCCCGACTGGCTAGTGAATTTTCATAGGGTCATTTTGTAAATACAAGTATATCACTCTCTCCGACTTGTTAAGTTATAATACACTTTTAAATCATGCAAGATTGTGGCCTGATAAAAAATGTTCATCATATTAGCAGCTTAATGATGAAACCCCGTGTTTACATTCAAATTTCGGACCAGTGAATAATTTGTGGGCTAGTAACTTTCAGGCATAGCTTGCCCGTCTGGCTAGCACTATTTCGCACACTGAGGCTAGACTATCACGGGTTAAACCAGATTGTCTCTGGTAGTTACCAGAACTTCGGTACTTAGACTCAGGTCACTTACATTTTGATAATAGAACGCACTTAGCAATTGTCAAGACAGCAGAAACAGCCAGTGATTGCGTATTATGGAAGATTTTACGTTCCCTTCACTACACGACATGCATGTACCAAGTCAACGAGCCTGACCATCCGATCCCGTTAGTCCTCTCTCATGGGTCACTGAAGACCAACTCTGGCCCGGATCTTCATGGGTCAGAGTAACAAGGAAAAGGGAAGGGCTAGCTGTTAACCACTTGAAAATATCTGATAGAATTCATATCAGTATTTCCAAAGTGTTAAGTCATTAAATATTCCAGTTGGCCAACATAGCCCTTGTCCAAAGCCAACCAGGTCTCTGGTTTCGTGAATGTGATTTCCGTCATATATTAGTATCCATGGTGACGGTGTGAAGTGTCAGATATTTATTGTTCATACACCGATGTGGAGTAACATCGCTGGGATGATGGGCGGGTTTCTATGAGTTAGTTAGTTAGTTAGTTAGTTAGTTAGTTAGTTAGTTAATTAGTTAGTTAGTTAGTTAGTTAGTTAGTTAGTTAGTTAGTTAGTTAGTTAGTTAGTTAGTAAGTTAGTTAGTTTTAGCAATATTCTAGCATATATCTGGACACCAGCATATTCCAGGACACCAGAAATGGGCTTTACACATTGAACACATATGGGGAATCGAACCCGTCAAGCCTGTTTTGATAGTGTCAGCTCACTGTGAAATCCTGCTACAGTTTCACATGGATACTCCACTCCGACACATTATTCTGATTATCAGTCGAAAAGTGCAGTTTTCCCCTGAGTGCCAAGCACCTGGGGCGTCGGAAACGAGTTCCACCTCTTAAGGTACCGTATTTCGGTTTTCTAATAAGCACCGGGCCTCTAAAAAGCACCGGGGGTAAAGCAGCGGTTTAAGAAATAAGCGCCAGGTCTCTAATAAGCGCCGGGTACGCTTTTTTAAAAATGTATTCTCCTTTGAAATGTTTGAAATTCCTTTTTGTTATTGTTTATAATACCACATTCAGGGAAGCTGTGCATGCAGCTGAAAAGTTATTGCTGTTTCTTTGATTATAGTGTAGTTTTCAAATAGAACTTTGAAAACTTTAAAAAGAACTTTCAGAAAGTGTTTCATCATGTTTTCACTAGTAAAGTATGATGGGTAATACTTGTTAGTGTGCATCACGTAAAGGTCACAGCGACGGGGAGTTGTAAACAAGCGTCAAAGTTTAATTGTTCAAGAAACCAGAAGTAGATAGGATTTGTCTTTTGATTGAGTAAACCTTAACAATTATATTCAGGAAAATCATGCATTGACACACTTGTTTACAGCTCTCCTTCACTAACTTTGACGTAACGCCCAGTAACTATTAATTACATCCAGTAAGCGCAATAAAAAGCGCCGGTTTTACAATAAGCGCCGGGCCTCTAATAAGCGCCGGGCCTGGAAGTAGGTTGAAAAGATATAGAGGATATTATATGATTCCCCATGTCATACCATGTTTACGACACGAGTGCCCAAATGTTGGTATTTCCCGAGCGAGAGCGAGGGATATACCAATATTTAGGCACGAGTGTCGTAAACATAGTATGATATGGAAACGAATATAACATTCTGTTTATTACCGAAGTCGTTAAATTGAGGAAAATAACATAAACTGGCTACCAGCCGTCGCCGCATGTAGAACGCAACGTCATAGAAGAAACGTGACGTCATAGAATTGTTCATGACGTCACGTCGCCATGACAAAGTGATATTTTGCCCTAGGGTATCGTGCGAAAAATATGAACCCTTATATTTTCGCCCTCGTAGGTAATAAAAGCGCTTATTAGAGGAAATTGGTAATTGGTATGAGATCAGGAGTTGAACCACCACTCTTCCGCTCTCCGAGCCGACGCACTATCCAATATGGCCACGGATTCAGTGGACTGGTGTGAAAATATTCAGATACAACAGGAAGATGGGTGTGGCTTCAGTAAACTGAACTGCTACTTAATGCATTTCGGCCCGCCAACCCAGCTAGGCAAAACTGTGAGGGATATGTGGTCAGCCATTTCGCTCGCCATTTGTACATCAGAGGATGAGTTAGTCAATGTGTTATACGCTGCTTCTTCAAACTGCGTCATAACTACACCATTATGACGTCATCACTACGCCATTATTACGTAATCACTGTCATTACTACTCCATTGTTAAGTCATCACCACACAATTATTACATCATCACTACTCAATTATTAAGTCATCACTACTCTATTATTGCGTCATCTGTCAACTCTCAATTATTAAGTCATCACTACTCTATTATTGCGTCATCATAACTCCATTAATAAGTCATCACCGCTCAAATATTACGTCATCACTGTCATCACTACTCAATCATTAAGTCATCACTACTCAGTCATTAAGTCATCACTACTTCATTATTAAGTCATCACTACTCCATTATTTAGTCATCACTATTCCATTATTAAGTCGTCACTACTCCATTATTAAGTCGTCACTACTCCATTATTAAGTCGTCACTACTCCATTTTCGAAGACACAATCATGTCACCTTTCCTGATATTGTTCGAAATGTCCGTACATTTGAAATGTGGGATTTGTTTCAATTCACTTCATTTGATTTAATTCTTGCTTTCTGTTAAGTCACGTGCCATTGCATTCATTTCCCAGTGAATGTTAAAAAACACCAAGCCGCGCCCACCAAGGCGGACTACTTTCGCCATTCCGGAATGCCAGGAAGCGTAATTACAATCAAGACAAATTCTTTCCTTTACCATAATGAACACGACCTATTGTGCAAATTCAGCACCATCCCAACTACCCACAAGCTGAGAAGGAAGGAAACGACATTCGTACAGGGTCCGCCGGCCAGTTGGCCTGTTGGGTTTTTTGTGGGTTTTATTCACTCGCACGAGTTTCACAAAGTATTTGTCTTCAGATTTCATTTCTAACTCCCTTTTTACAAAACTTTTCTATGCATATTGTAACGGTAAGTGGTCATGTTATGTACAATAACAGCCTTCGTGCTGATGTATTTATTCCGGTCAGTTAGTCTGACTGTTCATTTCACCTTTTGCACTGATTGCCAGGTCCTTAGTCTGTCTCAGTCCCTGAACCACGCTATGTTCATCTCCACCCTACCTTTTCTGCAATGCAAAATATCTAAATGAAGCAAGTCTAGAATTTCTCTGGTTCTGACTCTCAGTTGCTTGGCTCCATACAGTTTACACATCGATATTTCGGTTTTTACCTCAACCATCAAATCATTTCTTAGAGAACGTTCAGCGTCCTGATGATCATTTTAAAAAATCAAATTCTTTGTCTCCTCATGGGCACATTTTTGTACGTTTTGCAACAATTCTGAAAAATAGTATCTAACAAAAATAGATAAGATGATTTTTCTTTCCAATAAACACAGACACAATCTATATACCTTGCAGTCCGCACTGGGATTGAAAACATGTTTGATGCTGATAATCCAACACTCTTACACATCTCAAGACAGTTCCTTGTCGATAACAATACTTTTTTCCAAAATAAATTCAATAATTTTAAGACACTTCTTCGTACATGAAAAGCAGTAATTGTTTTACACACATTCATCACCATGAGAGAGCTGATAAGCACAACCACAGACATCTAACATGTTGACACATGTCATCGGTTCCCAATTGCGTAGATTGATGCTCATGCTGTTGATCACTGGATTGTCTTGTCCAGACTCGATTACTTACAGACCGCCGCCATATAGCTGGAATATTGCTGAG